AAAGCCAACCTATGTAGGATATTTAGAAAAGGAAAATTAAACGAAAATTATATGAAGGGTTGTAATCCCTAAAGCGTCATTAGATATCAATGAAAATAATTTTACAGGGCAATCTTTCTAATATTGTGATCTTGCTTCATGCCTCAAGAACAAGTTTGACATGGCATTTGCACAAAGATTTGTTTCTCGGTACATATGCTCTACTTGGACTTCCCAATCTCCATTGATCAAATTTTTTATTTGATGTGGGAGACCCCATCCTAGTCCTTTCTTTGCCTTATTGCCTTTTATTGCTTCGTTAATCACCTTACTATGGGTTTGTAATTCCATTTTTTTTTATAACTTTGATTGATTTTGATATAGTTAAATATTGTTTTTAAATATATTTAATTTAATCGGTCAAAATCTTTAATGACTCAAGATCATCCTGATATAAAATTTCACTCGATTTTTGAGTTCAACATGTATAAAAGCTCAATAGGTTCAAAATTACCCTGTAAAATTCTTGGTTTGGTTTGTGGTCATCCGATATAAAACCTTGGTTTGATTCAGAGGATATCTAACTCAAAACTCCATCTTGGTTCGAGATTAACCTGTACAAAATCTCAGTTTGTCTTAGGGACTAACTGCTCGAAGCTTTGTTTGTTGTTTGGTTTTGAGACTAACCGCTTCAAGCCTCAGTTCGTCGTTTGGTTAGAAGTTAGTCTGAAACTTCATTTTCTTCTATAAGGGAGTTCACGGGCTTAACCTTCTGAATGTCTATAAAACTTTGGTTTCGTTTTCTCTTCCCTTATCTATAACGCCCTATATAATTTATATCTATAATAATACCATACAAGTGTTATTATCTGGTACTGACACCATCATAAGTGCCTATTGGCATAATTTACATACTTGACCATTCTACAAAACATAAAAGAACAACAATGGTACAAGATATGGAAAGTTCTAAACAATAAAAATCTAAAATCTGAGTACAATATCCATCTTTGTATAAGATACATAATACACAGTGGAAAATATAATCCAAACTTTTCTTAAAATATCCATGCATAGCTCCACTTTTAAACTAAACCTGCAAACCATATCTAAAAAACAACAACAATAATGGGGTGAGATAATAATCTTAGTGAGTTTCCCTATCTTATGGGTTCCCTCAGCTCTACAGAGTTTTAATCAAATTTTACTTCAATTTAAAAGGGAAATGGTATAAGACTTGAGTTCACAAAGCTTGCAATGTATGGGAACATGCCTCTTGAGTTCAACAACTCAACTATTTATTACTCGGGAAAATACAAACTGTAACGCGAGAGTGATTAGTCCAAAAATCGATCTCAAAGATCTATCCATCAGATGTGGCCAATGGTAGTTCTAGCCTCCACTGAATGGACCACACACTCCATCAGATATCACCAACGATACTCCTAGCCTCCACTGCATGGAACACAAACTACCAGATATGGCCAACGGTATTACCCAGCCTCCACCATGTAGAATACACTATCTACCGGATATGACCACCAGTACCCCGAGCCTCCACTTCTTAATGATAGTCAATTCATCTCAGATATGGCCAACAGTAGTCCTAGCCTCCATAATGGATACACCATCCATTAGATATGACCAACGGAACTCCTAGCCTCCACTAAGTGAAATGCACTAAGCCCTTTTCATCAGATATGGTTAATGGATACCGGACATCCATTGCATGGAATCCATCATCCGCTACTAAAAACTTTACGTTAAGTGACTGAATTAGAGACCGAAAAAACTTAAAAATCGGTCACTATAATGTTTAGTGACCAATAAAGCGACTACTAATTTTCGGTTGAAAAAGTGCTAGTCGCTAACCTATAGAGGCATATTTAGTGACTGATTTTGTGACAGAATTAGTGACCGATTTTAGCGACCGTTTTCAATTAATTAAAGAAATTAAAATAAAATCAAAAGTTTTGCTACATCCAAGAATCAAACCAATGCACTTATGTGTGAAAAGTTTGTGCGTGCCCACTAGGCTATTCTGTTTTAAATGTATATTTCATGTAAGATTGTATATATTATTTTTTAAAACTAATAAATTTGGATGGACGAATTATTTATATAAATATATGTTTTAATTTTTAAAATAATAGCAAATATGAAACTTCCACTGCAAAATAAAAATTGAAAAGGAATTAAAATATTTAGAAAAAATTAGGGGAACTAACTTAATAAAGAAAAAAATTATTAGTTATTGAAATTTCGGTCATTAAAATTTTTTATAAATTAATATTTTATACACGAGACTGAAAATAATGGTCACAAAATTTCAGTCACTAATTCGGTGGTTAATTTTATTTAGTGACCGATTTAGTCACCTTCAAAATTTTATTCACATGATATCCAATTTCGGTGGCTGATTCGGTGACTATGGTCCACGGAGTCCAGACCTCCACTGCGTGGAATACGCTTAATCGAGCTACAGTTATTCATCAATTACTAGGTGATCACATTCACCTTAATCACACAATGATATCACATGTTTCATACAAAGCCTATATTAATCATCAATTACGCGACTACTTGTCCGTTGTACATACCACATTACAATCACGTCCAAGTATCACTATCTAAACCATTTCACATTCTAGGTTATCTTACTAACATCCAATCAACATACATGTTCATAGTGTTTTAAGCATGTTATTACACAAACTAACATCCAATCAACATACATGTTCATCACATATAAATCACACATGGTAGTATACCATGCCAAAATAACCAACCATAGTAGTTCACATACACCATTAGGCATACAAGCCATCACTATCTTTTACCAAGAATCCATGGTTAACTTATGATATTACATCATCATTTAATATCCATTGGGATTATCTTTCCAATTCGCATGGAGTTCAAACTCACCCAGTCCATAATATTCCCCATTCTTTCAATTCCATACCATTCAATCAAACACACCTCTATGCACACTTTAGACATGCATATCAATCATTATACTCATCATAAACAAACCATGATACAATGAAATATGCACAAGGAACAATCACAGGAGTGAACAAACAAATGAAACAAAACCTGTCAGGCTCGTTGTCCGAGCTCTAGATGAGGTCGCCTCGCCTACACTTCGTTGTGTGAGGTCTGGGCGAAGCAGGGGAAATTAAAGGCAGTAGCAAAAACCCTCAGCAGTCATTGTGCGAGCTCTATGTGAGGTCTTGCCTTCGATTTACTGGAAGCTCGCAATGCGAGCGTAGCAGACTGAGATAGTCACTGCTGGCTCGCTAGAGATTGTTGTGTGACCCATGAATTATCCAACAACACGGAAACAATATTAACCATGGTCAAAACTCCAATTCTTCAATACCCAACTACCTAAAACCTAACCAAACACTTATTTAGACATGGTATGACATTATTAAGCATGCAATCCATCAATTATCTCAAAAAAAAAACAACATTAGATTTAATTCCAACAAAACCCTAACCCACCAATGTTCACATATTTTCTCCTAAAGCTATCACTAACTAATGGAACTCACCTTGTGGAAGAAAATTGATGATGGAGATAAATATTGTTGATGAATTTCTTCTTCTTCTTCTTCCATAAGCTCTTCCTTCTTTCTCTCTTTCTCTTCTCTTCTTCTTTTCCTTACCAACTTTATTCTTCTTTCCTTTCATTTAACATAAATATACATAATACACATAATATTATATAATATTATACAATGGCGCAAAATATCTCCACTTGATATTTAGTCATCTAACACCAATTGACCAATTATTAATATTACCAAAATGTCCTCTCTTGCACTTATTAATATTTGTCTGTCTTTTTCATAATAATTAATCTCTTCAGAGTTCACTAGTTACTCTATTGGTTACAACTGACACTCAAATGAGCATTTAAGGGAAATATGAGATATTACATTATCTCTTTTATTTTTCATTTGATTTCCATTTTTCAAATTTTTGTTGCATATTCAAACATTTTTAATAAAATATTTTTAAACTTTAATTTTAAAAATAATTTTATTTTAAATCATCGATTTTCAAACTTGCACAATTCACTCTCATCTTATATATAGAATCACATGTTTAATAGTTAAATGGTAGATCTAAAATGGTTTGACTATAATTTAGCAGTACCTCTAAAATTAATTGATATAGTTGTCTTTGAAATAAACTATACACCTCTAAAATTATTTTTAATTTTTATAAATGGAAACGAAGCATACTCACACTTAGACAAAATCAATTTTTTTAAAAATAAATTTATTCAAAATCAATTTTATTATTTTAGAACCAAAAACATTAACATTAAAACCACACTACTATAATTATGGTTAGTACTACTAGTCACTAGTTTTATTACACTGTCCAACAACATTAAAATCACACAACACCAAAATAGTAAACATCTTACCACTAATCAAAATGTTAATGATAATAATAAACAACAAAATTTGAAATTAGATATCAGAAAGCACACATTCACACATTTAAAAAATCAAATCTAATAAACAAAGTTTTGATGAAATAATAAAAATTTTATTTTTATTTTTATTTCATAAACTAAATATTAAATTTAAATTTGAATTTTTCGATCTTAATCAAACGGTTAACAATGTCATGAATTCATTAATGTGACTTTCTAAACTTAGTCCCCAAAACTTGTCCTAGTGATTAGTGTAGTGATTACTAGCTCTAACTTCCTTTCCTTTTCACCTCAGCAACCTATTCTTCTGACACAAAAATTTGCATTCAACACAAGTCAACATCAATACACAACAAAAGAGTGTACAAAACAAAGCAATGGCCCAAAAACTCATCACATATCAAACTTATAAACTAAAAAAGAAAAATGTTAAATGGTGAACAAAAAAACACAACACATTGAAGCCAAATCAACCTCACCAATCCACCACTCCCTCTTCAATGCATCAACCTTATTTAGATTTTAGACATCTTTAGAAACCAAACAAACATCTTGAGCTAAAAAAATGAAAAATCAAAACACATTGGTTCTGTCATTTTTCATCCTCATTCTCCATTTAGCTACAACAAAAGCAAGTTTTAGTGTTGGTGGTAGTGTTGGTGTAGGTGTAGGTGTTGGAGGTGGAGTTGTTTGGGCTGGAGGTGGTAATAGCAACCAAAACCAAAACCCAAAATCCTATGAATCTCCAATATCAAAAATGGATTCAGCTTTTTCAGCTCTTCAAGCATGGAAATCTTCAATCACTGATGATCCTTTAAAGATTCTAGATTCTTGGGTTGGTTCAAATGTTTGTTCATACAAAGGAATCTTCTGTGCAAATCCTGAGAACGGAAATGCAATGTCTTCTGCTTCTGCTGAATCTGCTTCACTAGTTGTTGCAGGAATAGATCTAAATCATGCAAATCTTCAAGGAACTCTTGTAAAAGAACTATCTTTACTCACAGATATTTCAATCCTTCATCTCAACAGTAACAGATTCAGTGGAACAGTACCTGAAACATTCAAAGATCTTGTTTTTCTTCAAGAGTTAGATTTAAGCAATAATCAGTTTTCAGGTTCTTTTCCTTTGGTTACATTGTATATGCCAAGTTTGATTTACTTGGACATTAGATTCAACTTTTTCTCAGGCTTTTTACCTCAAGAGCTTTTCAACAAGAATCTTGATGCAATATTTATCAACAACAATCAATTCGAAGGTGAAATTCCTACAAATTTAGGTAACTCACCTGCTTCTGTGATTAACTTAGCTAACAACAAGTTGAGTGGAAATATTCCAGCTAGTTTTGGTTTCATGGGATCAAAGATAAAAGAGATTCTGTTTCTGAATAATCAGTTAACTGGTTGTATACCAGAAGGAGTTGGACTTTTTACTGAAATGGAAGTTCTTGATGTGAGTTTCAATTCACTGATGGGTCATTTGCCTGATACATTGTCTTGTTTACAGAATATAGAAGTGCTTAATTTGGCTCATAATCAGCTTTCTGGAGAGTTATCTGATATAGTATGTTCTTTGAGAAGTTTGGCTAATTTAACTGTTGCTTATAATTTCTTTTCTGGGTTTAGTCAACAATGTTCTAAGCTGTTTTTTAGGAATGTCGGTTTCGATTTTTCACTTAATTGTATTCCTGGGAGGAACATGCAGCGACCACATCCTGAGTGTTCTATGATCCCAGGTGGTAGCTTAAGTTGTTTCAGAATTCCAACTCCAAAGCCTCTTATGTGTGGTTCTATGTCTGTAAGTAATTCTGAGAACACTGATTCTACCTCAGAATCTCATTCTCAAACACAATCTCCTTGATTACGATCCTTAAATGTGTCTGGTGTCACTATAGTCTTTGAATGTATTGAAATTGCAATATTTGTAGGACTAAACTCACTAAGAACATTTGGGAGTTTTTTTTTTGTAATTTTGATGCGTTCAGATATTTAGTAACGACGATCAAAAGACACATTTAAGGATCAAAGTAATGGTTTCCTGGGATAGTTGTAGTATAGTTAGTTACAAGTTGTTATTGGATTTTTCTATTAATTGGTGTTACCAATATTAATTCAGACACTTTTAATTTAAATTCTTGATAGATTCATATATTTTTTGTAACTATATCTGGCTTGTATGGATAAAGACATGCAACTTGTGAAACATCTACTTTGTGTTCTTGGATTGGACCTAATAAAAGATACATAATTTATGTTTCACGTGACATGTTTGATATTGTTATTAATTTCATATCACGGGTTTTTATACCTTTCAACAACTTCATTCCATGCAATTGACTAAGGCTTCTTCTTTTTTTGTTGTTTTCTGAACAATGGAATGAAACTTGTAGCAATGTAATGCTTTAGGTTACACATTTAAAATCACTATCTTACCCACTTTGCTCTAAGAACTTCACCAACATGAATTCAAATTTTGATTGTGTGAAATGTGACCGCAATCAGTTTACATTTAGACCGATCTAAATCTCGAAAGTTCAAATTTCAATGTGGAACTTGAAATCTAAAATACTGAGTTTGAACTTTGAACTGATTGATCAGACAAACCAAATGGGGCTGATTGTGGGCATTCATAAAAAAAATTTGAATACAAAATGGAGAAGCCATATTTGTGCTAAGGAATAAAATACATTGGATTTGGTAGTTTAAAAGACCGTGACGCCACTGAATAACCCCATAAATCACTCCATTGATCTCCGGAGCTTCCATGGATTCTGTATCCTTCATTCACCAACTCTTCTCTCTTCTGAGACTTGTAATCAGTTGCTGATTTCCTTTGATCAAAAGGGCCTCTGTTTCATTATCAAATAATTTTATGTCAAGCTAAGAGATACCGAATGAACATTAAGTGAGATTCAAAGTTCGAACTTTTGTAATCAGTATAATTACAAACTTACTAATATTTTCCTACAAAACACAACATAACACGCATATTTTCTAAGAACCAACTATCTTTATGTACCTTAAGATGAGTCTCTCCCAGTTCTTGTATCCTGCGAACAGAAGGTTAGCCTCTGTGACATTTCTTTGAAATTCACTCCTACCGGTCAAGAGAAATATCTTGAAGCCTAATTCTTGAAGCTTTTCAAACAAACTCAAACTGGAAGGCAATGCTGGGGCATCAGCCAACTTCACCCAATCATTGAAGGAAGTTTCGTTGAAGATTTCCGACCTGCAGTCCAATCAAAACCCAAAGTGTGAAACAAGATACACTTATGATGAACTCACTCAGAAAAAGAATCATATAATCAAATTCCATGAAAGTTTATCTTATCACATATATACATCCGGCAAGTTTTTAGATCTATAAACAATCATCCAAATCAACACACTCAGAATCGTCTTTGAGGATGTGCAAGGCGAACTATCGCATAGGGTCTAAAATTTGTTATTATCAAACTGTAGCTAAATAAGATCTTAAAATATTTGTCTCAATGATTAAATAAATAAAGTCTCTATTCGTTTCATGATTAAACCAAGGGTTGACTTAGTGGTGAAGAGTTTGGTCTTGAGAGTATGTTCTCTCAAGATCTTAGATTTGAATCCCTCGAAATACACACAGTTTTTATATTCGGCCAAGTCCATACAGTCGACCAAATACCAAAATTTTAATATGAAGTGTTAGTGTTACGTAGGTTACGAACACGACAGATCAAACTTCATTACCAAATTGTTTGTCTATTGTTTGTGATTATTATTTCTTTACACTTTTAAAATGTGCTTTTGTTTGTTGTAACATAATGGTGCATCCAAACAAGCCTAACTACATGAACTTTCTAGAATAATTTCAATTATTCAATGATTAATATAACCAAAACTATATGGTAAATGATTAATTATTGTGAAATAATTGATACTGTGAATGAACCAATACAAATCCGAAAGCTATTTGATTAAAGAAAACAATAAAAATCCAACGGCTAAAAATTCACGTACCCGAATCCAACAGCTTTGTAGTAAGGCACATTGGAAAGAAGCGTTTCATCAATATCAAACACCCACGCGTCTTTTTCATCACCGGCAAACGCCACGCGCTTCGCAAACTCCGACGAAAATTTCCCCACCACTTCGCAATCCCTCTTGTACTGTTCTCCAATCATATATTCCGCTACCGAATCAACACAATTCGTCGGAATCTGATTCCATGCCCCGACGTTGTTCGTCTCCACGGCTAACCTCCAGCTATCGCAGTACTCGACCGGGATTTCGTTTTCCGACGGAAGCCGGATGATCATCTCCGAAGATATGTGAGAGATCCACGAAAGCAATATAATGAGCGATAGCCGGGCGACGGAATCCATCGCCGGTTAACGGTGACGGTTTTCAGGGACCTGTTCCGGCGACAATCTTTTTTTCTCAAATTCTGTTGATCTGAGAAATGATTATCACACAGCAACCGAAAAAACTAAATAAGTTAGGCCACAAAAAAATAGATAGTTTTTTTTAATTATTTACTTAACTTATTAAAAAATTTACTATTTAACTTTCCTAGACAAGAACCGTAAAAAAACTTTATTTGGCAGGAAATTATTACTTAACTTAAAATCTTTAATTTAAATGAAAAATAATGTAAGTTAAATAATTGTTTTTAAATATAGAAATTATACATCTTTAATTTAAACTTTGTCATACCAAAGGAAGAGTATGAGCTGGGGGTGGAGGCTTGCAAGCCCAACTTACTTGGTCAAGTCATCTGGTCCAAGGGTACATCTCCACTCACAGTGATGAATCTGAAGACTAAGTTACTAAGTCTTTGAAAATCAATCGGCTAGTGGGGATTACATTTCTATGTAAGGGTAATTTCGAATTTTCATTTTCAACTCTAGAAGATGTTAGGAGAGTTAGGTCCATAACCTCATGGAATTTTAATTCTGGTTTTCTCAAACCATTTCTATGGACTAAAAATTTCAACCATTCCTTCGTCAAACATGGATTGGCCCAAGACCATTGGAGACCAAAAATTGTGTTTGCAATTGCTACTAGTGTAGAAATCTCTTTGTGCACAAACTCGGCCTCAAACAAGTGTTTCTTTTTTAGACCTTTTGGTAACTATGTAAGGGTTCTTGTGAATTTAAATTTGTCAAAGGAGTTTAGATACAATGTACTGGTTAAAAGGAATGAGTATGGCTTCTTTGTGGAATTAGAATATGAGAACATGTCTTGAATATTGTTCTCTTTGCCATTAGATGGGACAATGTTTAGAAAATAGAAAAAGGAGAATTATTCAAAGTGTCGTTGAAGGAGATAAGGTACAACAAAGAAGGCAACTAGGAAAGTGTATGTACGGGCGAGCCGTAACGTTTCAATTTCTAAATTAAATTATTTTAGTGAGTTTTATATGCTTAAATGATTTATTAGAATGTATTTTTGTGGGGTTGTATGAGGTTGGTTAGAATTTATATCATTTATTATTATTTTTAGATTAACTAAAATAATAGAAAATTGAATAAAATAATGAAATAGTGTGTTATGGGGAGAAAATAGAATAATAAAATAAGTGGTGCGACAAGGAGAGAAAGACCAAAAGTGTAGGGACAAAATTAGAAGACTTAATATCTCTTTAGATCCTTTAACTTTAGTTAATGTGTTTTTTTGGTCCTTAAAAAAAATGTTACATAGTGGTCCATTAACTTATATTCCGTTACATATTTTAGTCCTTTCTGTTAGTTTTTGATGAAAAAACGTTAAACTTTGATTAACTGGACATTTAGTTGCTGAGTTGGAATATTTATTTATTTTATATTGATTAAAATATTACACATTTGACCAAGTTAGTGGCACAAGAATCATTCCTCTCTACAGAAGTTCAACACTATCTCATGAAAGAAACTTTTTCTTCCATTTCTTCTTCTTCTTCTCAATTTACACCTCAACTTCTAAACCTTCATCAATTTTTTAAACATTTTCCCCTCTAAGATGCAGAACAAACCCAAATTTTCAAAGATTAAAAAACTTTACCCTTTGTGTTCTTATGAAAGATCCAAAACAGGATACCTAAATGAAAATTAATGAAGAAAAAAATCACCTATTTTAGTTGTGTCACATAAAATGGAAGAGAAATTAGCAAGAAAAATTAAAAGAAATTGGAAGAAAAACAACTACTCCAACACCAATTTCATTCTCTCTCCCACAATAAACCTCAACAATTACAAAATCGAGCATCAATTTTTTCAACTTTTAAACTTTCATCAATTTTTTCAACCTTAAACCATCACTACAAACCTTTATTTTCTCACCTTTTAAAACCAAACCCAACACTTATCTTTTTCCCTCTAAGATGCAGAGCAAACCCAAAATTTCCAAAATTAAAAAACTTTACCCTTTGTGTTCTCATGGAAGATCCAAAACAAGATACCCAAATGAAAATTGAAGAAGAAAAACAACCATCCATTTTAGTTGTGTCACAGAAAATGGAAGAGAAATTGACAAGGAAATTGTGTTGTTGTAAGTTCCAATCTTCAATTTTCTTTTAGTATTTTAGAGAAGAAAATGGAAGGAGAACAAAATGGAAAATGAAGAAAATATGGATGAATATTGTAAATGGAAGATGGAACCCATGAAATCTAGAGTGTTTTTAACACAGAAGCTAAATGTTGAACATACCATTTGCTTACCTGACATGCCATCTCAGCCATAATTAACATTTTTTCATACAAAATTATGATAGAGACCAAATGGTTTAACGAAAGTGAAGTTAAGGGATCATTATGTAATGTTTTTTAGTTCGGGTACCAAAGCGAAACTTCACTCAAAGTTAAGGGACCTAGGGACTAAATGTGCCAAATTAAAAATAGTAGAAGATTAAATTAGGCTTTTCATTTAAAAGAAAAGAAGGGAAAATAGGTTTTTGTGTTGTACGTGAAAAGTTGTAGGAATTAGGAGTGGAGAGGAAATAGCAAACTTAGAAGGAAGAACTACCGTTGATAAAAGTTCAAGGTTTTAGCCAAAAAAATTAGGTAAGGGGGTGAGGGGAATTATTCATCTATGAGTGTGTTTTTTATAAAGGGTGGAGAGGGATCCTAACCCTCTTCCTTGTTGTTTTCTCCAATCCTCTATTGTTGAGGTTTGAATCATTGAGATGATTGTGCATACCTTTCTAGATTATCCTGTTATGAATATGATTTTAAGTTATGACAAGTGTTGAATTTATATGTAAAACATATGTGAAATTTAGATTGGTGTTGTTCTTGTTTATTAGTTTTGGTGGTGATGAACATAATGATAAATTTCATAATAAATTAATGTTGATGTGTAATCTGTGTTGATTTGGTGTATTATGTATCCAATATATTATATATGATGTTTTTCAGTTTGATTTAGGTGATATGATGTTTTTCAGTTTGATTTAGGTGATTTGGGATTGAAATCAAAGCTTTAGAAGTGCTCCAATGATGGAAGTTATTGATTTTGCAATCTGCACAACGGTGACAAGCATCACCGGAGTGACGAGTCGACTGTCATGCATCTGGGAGAGCTGACGAGCGTCAACATGATGACGAGTAGACCATCATGGTCTCCAAGACGGGCTTCTTCCCCAGGAATCACATGGTGATATGTTGTGTGTGCGTGTGATATATATATATATATATATATATATATAGAGAGAGAGAGAGAGAGAGAGAGATAGATATATGTATATATATATAGAGAGAGAGAGATAGATACATATATCTATCTATCTATCTCTCTCTCCCTCCCTCCCTCTCTCTCTCTCTCTCTCTCTCTCTCTCTCTCTATATATATATATATATATATATATATATATATATATATATATATATATATATATATATATATATATATATATATATATATATATATATATATATATATATATATATATATATATATATATATATATATATATATATATATATATATATATATATATATATATAGAGAGAGAGAGAGAGAGAGAGAGAGAGAGAGAGAGAGAGAGGGGGGGAGGGAGAGAGAGAGAGATAGATATATGTATCTCTCTCTATATATATATATACATATATCTATCTATCTATCTATCTCCCTCTCCCTCCCTCTCTCTATCTCTTTCTCTCTGAGAGAGAGAGGGAGGGAGGGAGAGAGAGAGATAGATAGATAGATATATGTATAGAGAGAGGGGGGAGACGAGGTGCGGTGATGACCGTCAACCTGGTGACAGGTTAACTTTTAGCCCCTGGAGTTGATCGGTTATAAGCGGTTGACTCGATTTTTCGAGTAATTTCCGATTAAGATGAATGTTTATGGCTGTTTACTGCTATTTGGTGAGTTTAGTGAGTAGAGCTAGTATTTTGGTGTTGTTTGAATAGCTGAGTGATGTATCGAGCTATTCAGATATGTTCAGAGTTGAGTCAAAAGGTAATCGAGTTGGGATTTAAAGTATGTCTGGTGACTCAAAAAATCTCGAATAAAAGTGACAGAGTCGTGTATGAGCTCTGATGGTCATAAGTTGAATATGTTGAATGTTGTTGTGAAATGTTATTTGTCGGTAAGTATTATATAAGTAAGGATACAATTATATATGTCATGTTGAGTTATAATTACGTGGTGTGTTGAATTATGGCAAGTTATAATTATATGGTGTGATGCATTATGGAGAGGTATGTGGCTCAGATAAGAACAGTGGGTGATGATTATTGTATTGCATTGTTATGGCCTTTCATGTATCATGTATATTGGAGATAGGTAATTGGTGATGATTGGTGATAAGACTAAATCATTAACATAACTCTGATATCTAATATTAGTGATGGGATTGATAAGTAACATAACTCTAACATCTAAATTGGTGAGTATATTGGTACCACATGTATTTGGTGATGAGGTGATAAGTGCATGCATATACATATGCACTTATGATTGGTGATGGTTGTGAATGGTATATAAATCTGATGGTTGGTGATCATTGTGGTTGATATGAATGTTGATGTTTGAATGTGCTATCCTATATTGCTTTATACATCGTCAACACTTTTGAATGTATTCTCACCTCTAGTTGTTTTGTTTGTAGTTTTTTGTACTCTTATGGTACAAATACCCAGGTAGAGGAGCACTAGCTATTTTTGAGTTAGAGAATGGCACTGAGGCCTCTTTATTTACTTTATTGCTATTAGAGTTTTTTTTAGCTTTGGCGTTACTCTGATATGTAACATTGAGGATGGGTTGTTTTGTTACATGTAGTGTTTTCTCTAAGATGTATTAAATTATTTCATTAAGTATTAGTGTTGAGACAAATAAATACTTTCTTTGAGGTTTTGATGTTTTATTTCGGTGCTTTAGTGTTATGTTTGTTGAGTAAGGTTCT